TCGATGGGCTGCCTTCTGCACGCCCCCTACCGGGGATCGAGCCCGCAACCTGGGCGTGGGCCCTGAGTGGGAATCACCGGCGACCTCTCCGTGCACCAAAGGACACCCAGCCTACTGAGCCACACGGGCCAGGGCTGCTTCAGCTGTTTTGTCCTTCGTTTTCAGGGACCACTGCCTTGAGCTGGAGAGTTCAATGGCTGACAGTAGGCTCTGGGCTCCGGACCTAGGTAGGTAACAGGTCAAAACTAGGGATGCAAGGTCAAATATGCTACTCCTGCCCCAGAGCCTCTTGGGAGGAAAAGATCGAGAGATGTTAGCCCTGTTGGGTTTTTCTAATTATTAGTGGTTTGTGTGTGAGTGTTGTATGTGTTAATGGATGTCATGGATCATTTAGGAATTCACGGTAGAGGTCAAACAAGAGCTTTTAGTCTGATATTATGAACAAGATTGGCAGACAGATGGGGAGTCCTGGTTGAACAACCAAGCATATTTAAACCCATAGTCACGGTTATTTTTACCATAAAGTATTAAGTTTATCTTAAACACCCCCCCCCCCACACACACACACTCAGTTATCTAACTATTTTAGCACCTAGTCACTTCCCTCCTACTCTCCTCCCCTCTCTTTTAGTATCATCTAGTTTTAGAGCTGGAATGTGACAGATATACTGTTGGGTTTCTGCCTTTTAAACACTAATACACCACACAGAGGCTGTCGGTGAGAGCGGCTCCGCTTACAGGACTCTCTTATCTCCAGCTTCTCACTTTGTTCTTCTTTGTTGTTGTTTCCTAGGGGCTCAGCTGGGAGTTTCCGGTTGTCTGAAAAAATGCCAGAAGAGCTCCCCAGATGCTAGGAGGCAGCAGCCCTTTTCTGGAAGGTCCTTTTACTTGGATCTGCCTGCTGGCAAGACTCTCCAGTTTTTGACGGAGGCAATCCAGCAGCTGGGTGGGGTATGTAAAGTGCTTCTCGCCTGTGACCCCCGGGTTGTAGGGCAGGAGCTGGAGAAGGATTGTACCTGTCTTCCAGGTGTTTTCAGTGGTATTGCTACATTTTTCCAAAGCAATTTTCAGTATAAGCCACTTTTTAAAATAAAGTTCATTTTTCTCCCCTAATTAGAAGAAAAACAATATCTGCTCATTCTAGAAATGTTAGAGAACATGGAACTGCTGCAAGTGACAACCATCATTTTGATGTATTTGTTTTTTCCTGGTGTCTTTTTCTCTTTCTTTCATTTTCTTTCACAGCTTTATTGAGATACAGTTCACCCATTTGAAGTGAATAATTCAGTGGGGTTTTTTTGTATAGTCACAGAGATGGCCAAGTGTGATTAGACAGTCAATTTTAGAATATTTTCATCACCCTAAAAAAGAAACTAAGGCCCATGTCAGTCTCCCCATTTCCTCTCAATACCCCCAACCCTGGGCAACCTTTTATCTACTTCTGTAGTCTATCCTTTAAAAAAAAAAAAAAAGCTTATTTTCTTTGTAGCTATGATCATAAATATATTTTTATTACCAACTTTTTGCCCATAACCTTAAAACATTAGCACTTCCCTATCATTATTATCCCTCATATGCATTATTTGTAATGAGAATATAATATTCTTTTGAGTAGATTGTTAATTTACTTAACTTACCCTATGGCCATTTAGATTATTTCTAAATCTGAGCTCTTACAAATAACACTGTGGTGAACAACTCTGGGTAAAGAGCATTTGCTGTGTTTGAGTTCTTTAAAATCTTTTTATTTTTTTTTTATTTTTTTTTTAAAAATCTTTTTAAAGCAGATGTATGTCATATGGTATTAGTAGTCAGGGTGGGCATGGACAGCTCTTGTGTTTAGAAAATAGAAGATAGTGCTTGGCACAAGAGCGGTGGGTCACTGGGGAAACTGCTGGAGGAGACTTAGAATCTTTGCTGTCATTCTAACAGAAACGCAGGGATGTAGAGACTCAGCAGTGGGGATGGACTGAATGACCGTCATACACCCCAACTGGCTCCAAAATTTTGAACTTTTAGTCTTTCCTATCATTTAGGCTTTGCTATACAAAACAAACAAACAAACAAAAAAACACCCCAGGATTTGGCCTTAAAACAAGTTATTTCTCACTGCTCTCTGGGTTGGCTTGGTGGTTTCTCTTGCAGCTACATTTGGCTGGAGGGTCAGCTGGGCTGGAAGGACCAAGTTGACCTCACTCACACATCTGGCCGTTGGTGCTGGCTGCCTCTGTGGCTTCTCATACGTATGAGAAGCTTCTTACATGCATTGTATGAATGTGTACTCTCGTGTGCATATACAGTAAGCTAGACCAGCCAGTGGACTCAGTGGTCTCGGGGTTTTCCCAGAAGGTGAAGGGAGAAGCTACAAGGCCTCTTGTGGCCTAGGCTCTCGAACTCACACGTATTATTTACACCATTGTATTGGACAACAGGAATCCCATTCAAGGGATAAAGAATAGGCCTCTACCTCCTGATAGAAAGAACAGCAAAGTCACATTGCAAATGAGTGGGTACCCTGGGATGGGAGGAATGTACAGCCATTAAACTGTCTACCAGCCCTGGCTGGTTTGGCTCAGTGGATACAGTGTTGACCTGCGGACTGAAGGGTCCCAGGTGCAATTCCGGTCAAGGGCACGTACCTTGGTTGCAGGTTCCCTGGGCCTGGTTGGGGTTTGACATTGATGTTTCTCTCTCTCCCTCTCCTTCCACTCTTTCTAAAAAATCAATGGAAAAACATCCTCGGGTGAGGATTAACAAAAAATAAATAAAGTTGTCTGTTATCAGCATTGCTACCCCAGCTTTTATATTTCAGGACGATGTGTACGTGGGGGCCCAGTGCAGAACTGCGTTTGGTCTATTTAAAGACATTGATTCTGGAACTTCTAGCAGCCAAGATTTCCTCTCCAACCTCTCAGTATTGATGATTCCACATCTGCCTTTGGTTTTCAGCCACCTCTGTGATCTGGTTTCAGGTAATTGAGGGTTTTCTGAGCAAAGAAGTAAGTTACATCGTGTCCAGCCGCAGGGAGGCGAAGGCAGAGAGCAGTGGGACAAGCCACAGAGGCTGCTCCAGCTCCAGCCCCAGCGAGGTCAGAGTGGAAACACCGTCCATGGCCGATCCAAAGGGCAGCCACACCAGGCCTTCACAGAAACCCGTAGACTTGGTAAGAACCTCGTGGAGCCCTAGCTAGTTTTTCTCAATGGTTAGAGCGTCGGCCCCGCAGACTGAAGTGTCACAGGTTCGATTCTGGTCAAGGGCACGTACCTCAGTTGCAGGCTCGATCCCCGGCACCGGACAGGGCACCTGTGGGAGGCAACCAATAGATGTGTCTCTCTTACATATTTATATAGGATAACCATTGCCCCACTCCCACGGCTCTAGCATTTGTTTTTGCCATATTACAGAAGGTAGACAGAGGTACTCCTTCAAGCCGTAACTTTAAAGATTTTTTTAAATTGTGGTAAAATGTATATAAAAATATGCCACTTTAGCCATTTTTAAGTGTACAGTTCATTGGCATTAATTATATTCACACTGTGGTGTAACCATCACCACTTTTTTGTTTCCAAAACATCACCCCAAACAGAAACTCTATAACCATTAAGCAATAGCTTCCCGTTTCCCTTCCCTACAATTCCTGTCTATGAATTTGCCCATTTTAGATGCCTCATATCCTTTTGTTTGTGGCTTATTTCACTTAGCATGTTTTCAAGGTTCATCCATGTTGTAGCATGGTTAAAGTGGCAGCTCCTGTGTTGAGCGTCTGCCCCCTGGTGGTCAGTGTGCATCATAGCGACCAGTCGGACAGTCGGACACTTAGCATATTAGCCTTTTATATATAGATAGATAGATTGTCCCTTTTTATGGGACTGCAGAGTCAGGGGTTCAGAAACAATAGGAGGGTCCTCTGAACCAGAGAGGGCTTGTTGGAATTGGCCTACACTTATCAGTGGAGAGTGTGGAGACCCTTAAAGGGAAGTCTTAGAACATTTGTAACACTTTGATCTCTGGTGAATTCAAACTGCCCTTCTGCCCTAACTGGTTTGGCTCAGTGGATAGAGCGTCAGCCTGCGGACTGAAGGGTCCCAGGTTCGATTCCGGTCAAGGGCATGTACCTTGGTTGCGGGCACATCCCCAGTAGGTGTGCAGGAGGCAGCTGATCGATGTTTCTCTCTCATTGATGTTTCTAATTCTCTATTCCTCTCTGTAAAAAATCAATAAAATATTTTTTTTTTAAAAAAAATGCCCTTCTCCACCAGGGTCCAGGCCACAGCTACCCATGGATGATCTGACTTGGGTGTGGGTCTACCTTGACCTCCAAAAGGTTCTAGGCTCTCATTTCAGCCACTCCTGAGCTGTGGTTGCTCCCAGCTTTCCAAGACATGACTCCTGGCCAGCACCTGTGTAAATATCTGTTTTTGCACAGGTGGTTTATATAACATATCTCATTGCTCTTCTCTTCCTGTCAGGTACCTATGAGCAGAGGGAAGGAGCTGCTGCAGAAGGCCATCAGAAATCAGGTGAGCTGAGGGTCCCAAGGTTCTTCTGAAGTACAGACGACCCTCAAACAACACAGACTTGAACTGTACAGATCCACTTACATGTGGGCTTTTTTTTTTCTCTTCAGTAAATACCTGTATTGTTTTTGATCCATGGTTGGGAGTGCACAGGTGTGAATGGTCAACTGTATTCATTGATCTAGGCCATTTTATATAGGGGACTTGAGTATCTGTGGATTTTGGTATCTGTGGGAAGTCATGGAATCAATCCCCAATGAATACCAAGGGACAAGTTTTTGGAGAGTCAGAAGTTATATGGATTTTCAACTACACAGGGGTCAGAACCCCTTATTTCTGCATTGTTCAAGGGTCGGCTCTACTAACACAAAACACACAACCTATGAGATGTATTGTTGTTTTCTTCTTACAAATGAAGAAGTGGAGCTTGGAGAAGTTAAGTAATTTGTCTAGAGTCACCTAGGGTGTCAGTGGTAGAGCCAGGATTTGACTCCTTGATTTTTCCAACTCGGAGTCTACCAAGAGAATCTTGGAGGGATGCTGTGGGATGTGAAGCTAGACTTTGTAAACCTATTTTCTTAAAGATTTTTAAAATTTATTTATTGACTTTAGAGAGAGAGGAAGGGTGAGAAGGAGCGAGAGAAATAAACATCAATTTATTTCCACTTATTGATGCATTCATTGGTTGATTCTTGTATGTGCTCTGACCAGGGATCGAATCCACAACCTTGGCGTATCGCGACAATACGCTAACAAACGGAGCTACCCGGCCAGGGCCAGACCGTAAACCTTTTACAAAGTAGCTGCTTATGCCTTTTGTGAGAACCCAGAACCATTCAAGTTAAGTGGCAGGAGAGGAATTAATTAACGTGATCTTGTGAGAGGAGTCATTAAAGTGACATGAGGCTGGGTGCATTGGCTGTGATGAGGGAGGGTGATGTCAGATTTGGGCAGGAAAAGTGTGGCCAGCATAGCTTCCTGCTGGGTGATGGTGATCGTCCCTGGTGTGCATTACTGTGAGCTTTCTTCTCAGAGGCCCTCCCAACAAGCAGCTCTCTCATAAGCATGTGTTCCTTCCTGGTCACAAGGTGGCCGGAGCAGAGTGTGCGGGTAGACCAGCAGTCCATCCCCTCCAGGTGTGGCCAGCCCATATGGAGGGTTGGGGTAGACTCTTCCCCACAACATCCCTCCATGCGGATAACCCAGGGCACCCAGAAGCCAGGACGACCTGTCCCCGTAGTGTTCAGGCCCCGTGGCGGCTCCTGCTCCTGCCTGACTCTGCTTCGTCTTTCCAGGGGAGCAGCAGCGGAGGAGGCAGCGGGAGCCCCAGTAGCCTCCTGACCAATGCCCGCTCCTGGGGAGTGAAGATTCTGCATGTGGACGGTACCGTTTCTGCCCAGGGCTCCTACGGAGGGCGGAGTTGGTGACTGACTGGGAATGTCTGCTTTTAGAGGGATCGGAGTTGTAAGCTGGCTGGAAGCCAGGCATGCTGTTACCGTGTTGATCCACAAAGGTGGGAGGGTGTGGAGACCAGCTGTAACGATAGCAGAGTGCATGTACTAGAAGGTGCTATCCTGTTTAACCCACTCAACAGCACGCCTCAAGCTAATGTAGTAATCTCGTTTTACAAATAAGGAAATAACCCTAATATCCATGACCGATTACCGGGTATTTACTCTGTGCTAGGAATTAACCTCATTTAATCCTCACCACAGTCCTCTGCCTAGTGTACTGATGAGAAGATTGAGCCTTAGGGGGATTAAGTACATAATCCATAGTCTCACCAGGAGTGAGCAGTGTGATCCACATTCCAGCCTGGTTTGGCCCAACTAAACCTCATGTTCTTTCTTCTTGATGGGGTTGCCTCACACCTCTTTGCAGGTTGTAATAAATTTGCACCAGAACAGCTGTCCTGAGTGGGCTGGCAGTGACTGGCCCTCATATCCAGCTCCACTGCACATTGGCTTTTCTCTCATCCTTGAAGGAGCTGGTCAGATCCAGCCTGAGAGATAGAAAGTCAATAAACTGCCCTGGCCTGTTGCTCAGTGGTTAGAGCGTCAGCCTGAGACAGAAGAGTCACGGGTTTGATTCCAGGTCAAGGGCATGTACCTTGGTTGCAGGCTGGATCCCTGGCCCCAGTCGGGGCGCATGCAGGAGGCAACTAATCGATGTGTCTCTCTCACATCGATGTTTCTCTCTCTCTCCCCCCTCCACCCCCCCTTCACTCTCTAAAAAATAAAATCAATAAACATATCCTCCTCGGATGAGGATTTTTAAGAAAAGGAGTTGTATTCAGTGCTACAAAAGAGCATGAAGCCAGCTTAGGTCTTTTTCCAGGATAGAGGACTCAGCCATTTCTTTTATCAGCAGGTGCAAAGGTGACATGTAGCCAGAAGGTGGCAGGCAAGGCTGGTGTGATCCAATGTGCCAGGCCTGGTGAGACTAGTCCCCAGGAAGGGGCTTTGCTGGGAAATGAGGAGTGGAAACCTTTAGCCGCGGCCCTCTGCTTTCTCCACAGAAATGATGATGCGCGTGCAGCAGCTCTCTCTAGATGCTGTTTGTGTGAAGAAACAAGGGCCAAAGAAGCCAGAGGTAGGTCATCCTGCTGAACTGCAGGCAAGTGGACGGTTTGCAAACTGTTGACAGCTTTAGTAAATCTATGGGCCACCCAGGCCTCTGCTCCTGGCCATTCTGGGAAAAGTGAGAGGAGTGCAGCCTCTCGGTTAGCTCATCCCTGGGGTCCTCGTCTCCCTGCAGATCCCCTGTGACACTAGGCATTCAGTGCCGCCTGGCCTCGGACAGTCCTGGCCTACAGAAAACATAAATGCCCATGGCTTACTGGCCAGGCTGCCTTTCTGGGGACGTCTCTTAGCCTGGGAATGAGCCTACAGATAAGCAGGGGTGGGGGCAGGGGTGGGAGGTGTGGTTTGAAATAGCTGCTATAGTCCAAATTCTGGTTTGGCTTTCCCTCCTTTGCTGGAATTAGAACTGTGTGTATCATATCCAGAGAGCCCGGACTAACTTAAAGCCACAGAGCTTTCACCCGGCCAGAATCTGAGGAAGGACTAAGCCCTGCAGGTGCACTCAGGGCCTGGCACCTGGGAGCAGGACCAAGAGTAGGAGTAAACCACATGCACACCCAGTGGAGCACTCGGCGCCCCTTGCCCTGCACCCTCTGGTCTAGGGGTCTCTGGGAAGCAGAATAGGTGATGATGATAAATAGATTTGCATTGTCACAATTGGAAAAGGTATATGGTGAACGTCTCCAACTTCTGTTCCCCAGACACCGCCCTCCTTGAGATAAGCAGTATGAACAGTTCACCAGGTATCCTTCCAGGACTCCGTGCACGTACAAAAATTCCCCCTTTTATGCAAACGCACAGTATTTTTACTTGGCTTTGTTCACTTAATAATCTTTTGTGTAGATGCTTGGGAGTCTTTTGGAGTGAGTTCTGGGCACCGTCTGCTGATCTGTGAGGGGATGTGGAAGGCTGCTTTGGGTGTCTTTGCCCTGGATGTGTGGCCTGGAGGTCTGCAGTCATGGATTCACTGGCTATCTCATCTTGCCCCATCCCCAACCCTAAAGGATTCCTTATTTTTTTCCATTTAGTTTTTAATATTAGCTTTGTTTGACCTTGGCCTAAATGTTGGTTTTGACCACCAGTCAGGGGGCACAGGAAAGCAAAAGGCACTGTCTTCACCCTTGTCCTGTAAGCCGGCCTGGATTGGCAGCATGCCTGGATGGCCCGGATCCACCTGACCAGCTGCCATGTATTTATTTATTTATTTATTTATTTATTTATTTATTTATTTATTTTAATATCAGAGAAGAAGGGAAAGAGAGAGAGAAACACCAGTGATGAGAGAGAACCACTGATCGGCTACCTCCTGCACGCCCCCTACTGGGGATCGAGCCCACAACCCAGGCATGTGCCCTGACCGGGAATTGAACCGGGATGTCCTGTCCTGGCTCACAGGTCGGTGCTCAAGCACTGAGCCGCACCGGCTGGGCACTGCCATTTACTGAGCACCTGCCCTGTGCCAGGTCTGTCACCTGCCCCTGCCCGTTTGTGCCACATCCAAGGAGGTGTGAGTGCTCCTCCCGTCACAGGCCGTGGGGCCCCACAGCTCTTGCTGTTGCCCCGGCCTGCGTTCCCTCCACAAAGTCAGCTGGGGATTCGCACACAATGCTCACCGCTCACTGTGCCCCTGGGGAGGCGGAGGGAGCCATTGTACTCAGGTCAGTTCTAGCGCAGAACCCAGCTGACGACAGGAAGCAAAGTGGGGCAGACTCACAGCCACTCCGCTCACCAGCCCGGTTCCCCGACCCCCTTAACCTATTTTCCCTTTCCATCTAGGGAACGTGTCCCGCAGAGTCAAGAACACGGAAAGGTCAGTGTGGGAGCTGTTCCTCATCTAATTGCAGTCCCTCCCTCCCTAAATGCTTCCCTGCGACTCCCTCTGTGGCAGCATCTGCTCACTTTTCTGCGGCAGGAAGCAAGTCCAGGTCATGTTGTCCCATCGTGTTTCCGGGGCCTGGGCTTTGGAGAGGACAGAGGCAGAGGAGGCGCATCCATGAGCACATCTAGAGCTGCTGGGCTGGGGCTTCTCCTGCACGCCAAGACCCCCTGCGGCCACGCTGGCTCCTGCGTCCTCTGGCTGTTCCCGGCCATCAGTTGAAGTTCCCCATCCTTTTCCTCTGATTCAGCGTGGAGTGGGCAGTTGAACAGCTGCCTCCCACTTTCAGAAATGCCAGCTCCCTGAAGCTGACAAACAGGCAGATTGACAGGCCCGGCTCCCAGCTCCTCTTGGACAGCAGGAGGGTTCCTCCTGGATGTTTCTCCCGAAGATGCTCTTTAAGTGGCATTTATTCGAGCACAAGCAGGAGCTAAGAAAAGTCACTTGGCACCTCTCGTGTTCGAAATTCAAGGAAACCTGTGGGGGAATTGACTTTAATAACTGTCTCCGTTAATTAGACAAGGACTCGCCCCGAAAGAAGTAATTACTGGGAGAAAGGCAGCTTTTGTTGCTTGGGCGCTGGTGGCCTCTCGAACGGGTCTGGAAGCTGTGAGGTGCCATCCTCTTTGGAGACTTGGTGGTGTTAGTTCTGCCCAGGCTTCCAGCCCCTTTGACAGGACGCTGGTCACCCTGGGAGGGTAGAACTGCTTCTCGATGCCAACGAGATTGGGTGCCCCGTGCAGCTAACCAGCCAGGAGGGGATGGATCTCTTGATGAATTGACTCCAAATTTGTCCTCCCAGAACGCCTTTGCCCTATTTTGTTCATGAACCAGATTTCACCTTTGATGTTTTTTTTACCATCCTTCTGCTAAGATCTCTAAACACTCTTTAGTTCTCTCCCTCTCTGCTCTTCCCCGCCCCAAAATAAACCCGGGTCCTCATGGGGAATTCTGCTGGGAGTGATGGGAGGAGCCCTCACCACCTCCTTGGATGTGGCACAAACGGGCAGGGCAGGTAACAGACCGGCACAGGGCAGGTGCTCAGTAAATGGCAGCGCCCGGCCGGTGCGGCTCAGGGCTTGAGCACCGACCTATGAACCAGGACAGGACATCCCGGTTCAATTCCCGGTCAGGGCACATGCCTGGGTTGTGGTCTCGATCCCCAGTAGGGGGCGTGCAGGAGGTAGCCGATTCCCCTCAAGAGCTGTGGGGCCCCTCAGGATTCTGACACTGTGAGGAAAGGTCCGGGAAGCAGCTTTTAGCAGAAAGCAGCAGCGGGTGGGTCTCTCCCGCTCAGCTCGGTTTCTGGTGGTCAGTTACAGCCTCCAGGAGCCACGTGCAGGAGGCTCCTCTATCCTGCGGAGGAAGGGCATGCCAGGACCCCGGGCACCCTGCAGCCTCTGCCCCCCATAGTGGAACTCTTTCTCCCCGGGCGGAGGCTGGGAGAGATGGGAGTGGGTGCCTCACGTCTCCCAAATGGAAAGGCGCACCTTGGGGCAGCACGTGTTCCAGCTCTGAGCGCCCCTTCGGCTTTGGCAGGGCCTTGCCTCTCAGCACTTCCTGTGTGTGCCATGCGGGCCCTGAGCTGGAGCAGACAGGTGGCTAACGTGTGCCCTCTTCCTTTCCAGTGGCCAGACTGAAGGCACCGTTCCTCAAAATCGAAGATGAGAGCAGGTGAGTGGGGCTCCTCCCTGTCCCCACACCCCCACCAGGCCCACACGGAGGCCAGATCCCAAGCTGACGTGGGGTCATGGAGCCCCTCCGCCCTGCACCTGTGTCTTCCCAGAAGCCACTTTCTCCCGTCGTGGAGAAGTCTCGCATAGACCAGGGGGGCCTCTGAGGGCGCACTGCACAGCCGGCACTCCCCTTGGTATGAGCCGGAGGTTAATGGCCCTGTGTGTGAGTTACCTCCTAATGCTCTGCTTTTATGATCTCATTTACTCCGAGGTGTATGCTGACACTTGCTATCGAGTGGTTGTTAGAGCCAGTGCAGGGCTAGTGCAGTCATCTCGGCTGAAGTGAGGTGCTTGGGGTGGTGCTGGGATTCCCTTGCACTTGAAACCCTTCTGTTTTGCTGTGCAGGGCCCTCTCCTGGCACGTGCCGCCTCATGACCGCTCTCAGTGGGAGAGTCCATCCTCTTCCTAGTGGGGAAACGGAGGGCAGAGAAGGGAAGGACTTGCACATTCCCACTTCATTAATGAACCTCAGCTGAGGTAGATGCCAGGTGTCCTAACTGTGCCATCCGGCACCCTCTCCACTCTGCCCTGTCCACCATTGGGGCCCCTTTGTACCTGGAGCGGGAGAGTCCATTGATGATAACCTGATAGCCACCTGGGTTAGCGCTGACTCTTCAGTAAGTACTAGATCAAAGTCCATGTGAATCTATAATTCTCTCAAAAGAAAAGGTTTTTGAAAAAAGAAAAAACTCATCTGGACCTGGGACCAGAATTTTCTGGGTCCCTCAGCCTCATGCAGGGCAGCTGGAGACCCAGCCCCAGGAGCCTGGCATGCCTGCCCATCCTCCAGGCCCTGCACACAGTACAGGCATGGTCTTGGTGGCCCAGAAATGAGTGGAAAGAACATAGGGATGGCAATGAGGTGCTATCTTGTCCAGTTCCGGTGGGATGGGGTCCATGTCTGTCAATCCCAGCCCCTTCACAAGCAGTTAAATATAAGTAGTCATGACTCATAGACGGCAGCTGAGAGATACTGTCAGTGCCTCAGGATCTCTCCCTGCACGTGGCAGGCACAGGTGATGCCACTGTCACTGGAGGGGGTACACGTACTTGCGTGCCCCTAGCATCATAGGCAACAGAGGAGATCCGGGCGGAGCTGAGGTTTCTTGTGATTCTCTTGATGTGCTGTTCTGAACCAGGTGCTCTTCAAAGCCTCATAGCCTTTCCAACCTCAGCATCCCAGCCTCCTAAGCAGGAACAAAACAACTTTGAAGAGAAAGAAATGGGGGTACCAGGGCTGTGGAGGGCACCCTTTTCCCTTTAAGGGTCCAAGAACTCTGTTAATTCACTCCTGAGGCCAGAGGGCTCACAGTACCACCCAGGAACCATGGCCTGCACTCCCCCTGGAGCACAGGCCATGGCACCAAACACGGGGTGCCCGCAGCTCTATCACGGGGTTTGTTGAGTGTCCACACATGATCAGATCTGGCTCCGAGCTTGAATGTGAGCAACCTGAGGCAGAGCACCAAAACCACCCAGTATCCTGACATCCGGAACCTGCACTGGGCCTCCTTTCTCTTCAGAACTCTCCCCTGCAGAGGGTGCCGAGGACCAGCCCAGAGCAAGTGTTGCTCTAAGTGGAGCAGGGAAATCACTGCTGTGGTTCAAACATCCTTCCATTTAGATTCTGTGAGGCTGGAGTCCCCAAAGATTGTTCTAGGGTCGAGAAACAAAATGGAAGGGTCAGGAGATGTGGCTTCCGGTCTGGCATTGGCCACATACTAGCTGTGAGCTCTTAGGCAAGTTCCTGAACCTTTTGGGCTTCATTTACCCCACTTGTTCCACTCAGCTCAGAGCTCAGGGGGTGGCTGCAGCATTCCGATGAGGCAGTAGATAGTAGACAGGGAGAGCGTAAGTATTAATTTCACCTAGTAAGGCTGATGAGAATTTTGTTCTACAACCTGAAAGATGTGCAGGTGAGAGCCCACTTTGTCAGGATTGGAACTCCAGGGAGTTGGGCTGGCACCCCTTCCTCACCCTTTCCCTTCCCCGCTATAGTCAAAGTGGAAGTTTTCTGTGTTTCAGGGAGTTTCGTCCTTTCCACCATCAGTTTAAATCCTTTCCTGAAATTTCTTTTCTGGGACCCAAAGATGCAAGTCCCTTTGAGGCCCTGACGATCCCGGGCAGCTCGCGCCGCACCAGGTGGGTCTTTCTGGTTCCTGATTAACAAGGGCTGGTGACAGGCCAAGGTCCTTCCCCCCGGGGGCCTGCTGCTCAGATTTGGGAATGGCCATGTGTCAGCTCCTTAGGCGAAGTCTATTCTGGGAACTTAGCCCAGAGAAGAGAGACACAAGGAGAGTTCATTCATTTTCCTTGGTGTTCTCCAGCCCTACTGAAGAATTTGACTGGTGTCCAGAGGACAATTGGCTGGTTTCTGAAACTCAAATCTATAGACCACCTTCAATCAGAGCCCCCTGAGGTCCCATTAAAAATGGCTTCTGGACCCCACTTCACCCCTACAGAATCACAGTCTCTGATTATGGAGCCCCCAAAGCTGCATCCTCACAAGCTCCCTGGGCGATTTGATACACATCAGAGTGGCTTATAGGCTTATCGGTATTCCCGCTCTGCAGATGTGTGACGGGAGCCTCCACTGACCAAAGTGCAGAAGGAACGCGGCTTGGTGCAGGGTCTGGATGCCTTCTCGGACCCTTTCTAATTTCGGGCCACAGAGTTGTTAGTTCATAGACCAGGAGAACAGGACGGAGCAGACTCAGGCCGAGAGGACCCAGGGCCAAGGGGAGCCTGCAGGTCCCACCAGCAGACAAAGGAAGCGGTGCAGTGGGAGGAAAAAGAGAACGGAATGTGGCAGTAGGCAGAGGGGAGAAGAAACAATGAGCTGAGGTGGAGTTCAGGTGCCCTTCACATCTTTCCTAGAAGGCGCAGGGGATACCAGAGAGAGCCAGCCAGGGGGCCGTGGGCTGGGCTGGCAGGTGGTGCTAGACCTGAGATGGCCTGGGAATCGCAGAGCAGCCGAGATTGTAAAAGGAAGATGGTGAAGCAATGAAGCTTTGGTACATGCACATGAGAAACAGAGGGAGGGCTTTAGCCAGGGTTCCGTGTGTGTGTGTGTGTGTGTGTGTGTGTGTGTGTGTGTGTGTGAAATCTGGGAGGAAATGTTTAATTTTTTAAATTTAAAAGTGATTATTTTGGCCCTGGCCGGGTGGCTCAGTTGATTGGAAAATCATTCCAGACACCAAAAGGTTGCGGGTTCAATTCCCAGTCAGGGCACGTACAGGAGGCAACCAATCTCTCCCTCCCTCCCTCTTTTTCCCTTTCTCTCTAAACTTATCCTTAGGTGAGGATTAAAAAATAAAAGATTATTTTGGTTCAAAATTCAAGCATTACAAAGGGTTTAGAGGAAAAAGTCTCCCACTACCATCCTCTAATCTCCAGATCGTGGGTCTCTCTCCGGAGATGGCTCATGTGCACAGAAGTACATCGTGTCCTTTGTTCCCTCTTCTCACGTAAAGAGCAGCCTAATATTTGCTGTGCTCGATCTTAGTTTTGCCACTTTATCTTAGATTAATTTCCTATTAGTACCTGAACAGCATCCTTATTCCCTTTTATGGCTGTAGTGAATAGTCTTTTTAAAGAAAATTTGATGGTTTAAGTATATTTGCAGAGTAAATTCCTAAAAGTGGAAATGCTGGGTCAAAGGTTGCCTGCATTTATAATTTTGATAAATGCGGCCAAATTGCTTTACATGGAGATGATGCCAGCAACCACTCTGACCCCCACCCCCTTGGAGAGAGCCTGTTTCCACATCCCGTGGCTAATCCTGAGAGCTGTCAGGCTTGTTGATTTACACCAATCTGATAGATTCAAGACCGTGATCTCGGTGTAATTAGAATTTTCATGTTTTTCTCTATGAATGAGGTTCAGTCTGTTTTGTTTGATCATTTGTATTTCTTTCTGTGCATCTTCTGCATATCACTTGCCCATTTCTCTATTCAGTTATTGATCACTTTCTTATGGATTTGTAAAGAGCCCTCCACGTAGCAGGGAAATGAGCCCTTTGCTATAGTGTTAGTTATAAATAACACGGACCCCACTTCGTCCAGTCTGTGGGTTTAACTTTGCTTGTTTTCTGCTGTGCATACATTTTTTAAATTTGCATGTAGTTAAATTTATCAGTTTTTTCCTATTTTTTCCTGTGTTTCCTGGGTTTTGTGTCATACTTAGAAAGTCCTTAAAGGAGGATATTTTAGATTTGTTGAGTTTGCCCATAGCAATGGCCCACAGGCCATTAGAAAAACAGGATTGAAATTCAGACAAGGAGTCAGGTTTGAGAAAGAGATATCAAAGTCCTCAGTCAAGATGGCAGCTGTGCAGGGGACAAGTAAGCATGAGGGACAGGCTGGCTCAGGTGGAGGAGGTCAAAGGCAGTACTGCCCCCTTGTTACTGTGGAGGCCTGTCCCCTTCATTTTTAGGGCAAATGAACGAGGGTTTGGGTGTGAGCACAGAGCTGGAATTGCTCTTCCAAGGATTCTCGCTGTCAGCCACCACCCCCCGTTCTCACCTGTGGTTTGAGATGTGTGGGCGGAGAAAGGGCAGAGCTAGGACAGGGTGCCCATGGGAGGTCTCATCTTCCTCGTCGCCGCTCCTGCCATCCTTGGACAAGTGGTGCCAAGTGTAGGCAGGCCTGCCTGCGCCTGCCCAGCTCCGTGGCGGTTTCAGTTCATCTCTCTGGCCTGGGCTCCAGGCCCTGGAGCAACAGTTCTGCTCCGAGGGCCCCAGCAGTGACCACTTTCCCCCGTACCCTCCCCAGAGGACCCAAGGACCGAGAGCCACGCCCACGATCAGCCACCCGCACCGCGCCCAGGAGGAAGAAAGGTTACTGCGAGTGCTGCCAGGAGGCCTTTGAGGAGCTCCATGGGGTGAGCCCCTTCCCACCAAGCAGCTGCTTCCCAGACTGTTCTGAGAGCCATTCCTGCCCCGT